TGTGAGGTGGATCCACTCTGGTGGTCCATGGGGATGTGGGCACAGCCTCTGTCTGTGATGGAGAAGATGCCTTACCCTGTCCAGGTGGTGGCATCTTGGTGATTGAAAGCCTCCTGGATGAAGACCGCCAAGGTCCTCTGACCACACAGCTCTACTCTCTGAACATGCTCGTGCAAACGGAGGGCCAGGAGAGGACCCCAACCCAGTACCACAGGCTCATCTCCTCTGCCGGCTTTCGAAGCTTCCAGTTTAAGAAAACTGGGGCCATTTACGATGCCATTTTTGCCAGGAATTAACTTCCCTGATGGATTGTGGGTGTGGAACTACAATCAAAATGTAAAAATAATAATTATGAAAACATGAGTCTCGATTCCCTGTGTTGTTCTTGGTGATAATAAGTGATAAGAGGTTTCTCTCCTTCACTTTGTGGACTTTTGCACAAGGTCCACTCAGGGATGCCCCGACGGGGGTGTGGTCCAGCTCTGCCACTCACTTTGGATAAAGCCATGGTCCTCCTTGTGCTGTGAGGTGCAGCTCAGGTGTTCTCCTTAGTAGTGCCTCTTAGAAGCTATGCCCTGAGCAGAACTTTGGGACCTGCGGGGTATTTGGCACCAACAGGTGCTTGTGAAGCATGGACCCCTCCTTGTAGGCTAGTTCATTTAAGTTCTGTTACTTATTAGTAATGTCATTTCATCAGTGAGAAAAATCAATCTGAGACAGTCTCATCTCTCCTCTACAGATTCCTAATCATATCTCTTCATGTAGCCACAGAGAGGGGACTGAGGCAGTTGCCATCTGATTACACCTCACCCCTTCTGTGGATACAGAGAAATCAGAAAACACTACACAAGAGACAAGGATCACACCCTGCCAACCTAGATAATCTAGGGTAATGCACCATTTTGGGATTATTAATTAAATCACACTTGCAAAGTCCATTTTGCTATGTAAGGTTGCACATTAACAGGTTCTAGAAATGGACATGTGCATGTGGACATCTCTGGGGACATTATTCTGTCTCCCACATGGGATTGGGACATGGACATCTTTGGGGACATTATTCTGTCTCCCACATGGGATTAGGACGTGGACATCTTTGGAGACACTATTCTGTCTCCCACATGGGATTAGGACATGGGCATCTTTGGGGATATTATTCTGC